TAGTTTTCAGTATTATACAGTCTGTTTCAAACTGACCAAGTCATAAATCTCAATTATGTATGTATACAAACTTTAAAGATTTACGAGGAATCAAATCTCTTTTGTCTTGTAAACGTTTTGCACACATAATCAAGGATCATTATTTTTTGTTATAGAAAAAACAGATTTCTTAAATCAACGGGTAACAGTCAAGATAATTTGATTTTTCGATTGGATATTCTTGAATTATTGAATAATTATGGTGTTGGTTGGTTTCGTCAAGAAATGAATTTCTTGAATCAAGATGGAATACGTGACTAAATATTTGTTTGGTTCTGTGTTTGATCCAAAGAGAAGTCTTTGACAATCGATATTGGTCATTATTACTTAAGTAAATTAAATCTCTTGTTCCGGAATAAAAAGGGTTTAGAGGCAATAATAAGTATTTTACCATGATACCCAGATGATGTTCAAGAAGACCTAATTCTTTGATACAAGAAACCTTTTTTTCTATGGAATAAGTGAATCTTTCTATTTTGAAGACAATTTTTTCCTTGTGTATCAACTTTGCAAAAATTGGTTAAGAAGTATTTCATCATTCTGCTATTATTGCTAGTATTTTCATGATGTAACACCCTGTTTTGCTGAGAAAAATCATTTTTTATCTTCTTTAGTCGTAGATAAAACGAAGCAACATTATTGTGCTCTGGTAAAATAATATTACGAACGTTCAATCTGAAAAATGGTGGACTCGGATATGGAAAGTAATTCCAGATATGACCTTAAGATTAAGATTAAAGGGGCGGGGATAGATATCTTGGGAAAGGTTGATTTGTTAGATGTAGGAATCGGTATCGAATTCTATAACTCAACATTCATCTAACAAATAGGAGACATACAACAGTAGCGGGGTAAATACACGGGGGACAATAGGGACAAAAAGGAAGTTACATATGGGATACGGTAACATTCGAATTATTAGTTGCTATATTAACATATAGTCCAAATGTACTCGTATTAATAAACTCCATAACGATTCATTAATTTAATACTGCTTCCCAAAAGTTTCTCTAAGAAAATGTCTCCTACACAGTAGGCTTCACAATATGACTGGCAGAAAGCAACTGCTTCCTTGGATAATATCACAACAGATATGTATTGGATCCTACATACACATACTCCATACATACTTACAGAAGCCACTAATTGTCATTATTAGAATTTAGAATTGTGAACTGCAACGATAATCTTTCGAATTAGTCTACATTATGGTTTCTACATTGTATATGTTTCGCATTTATAAATCACAGATGTTCACTATGTAGTTCGAGAAAGAAAAGTTCAGTAACAAAATCAGGTATCGAAAATAGTATCTTATTCAATTTTTCATTTAGTAAATTTCTGGGCATCGAACAAACATTTTTTATTCACATATTTCAGGATTCGCAGATATTTTTAGTTTGACTAAAGGTTTGTTCTGGTTCTAACATCTGAAACTGTTTGGAAACTGCGCAAGACATGATGCCTACAAACAAAAAATATCAAACAGTCCGAAATAGTCTCGGACACTTGGTTAAACCAGAACGCATTTTGAGGAGACCACTGTGCCACCTATCGTATATATGAAGAGATGAAAACGAGAAAATACTGTTGATCATGTCCATTTTGTTATGTAGCGCACCCTTGTAGTCAGTTCAAATGTTATCTAACTTCAATCATCAATTATTTAAATGAAAAAACATCCTAGAAAATAGCCCAAATTTCCACATGAATGTGTATGAGCAACAGGAACAGTTCTCAACAGTTCAGCCTCGAGAGCAAGAATGATTCGGGACGGTTCTAGACAGTTTGGGATCATTTCGCAGTGGAAAAAGAGGATTCATCAATCGGAACTTGTCCTCAATAAACCAGAACGCTTTATATCAACTGCGCATGATCCTGACGTCCAAGAACCTGAATTTTGTAGAACCAGAACAAACCTTAAGATAGAGGCAATTCAGTCGGATGAAATTAAAATGGGGGAAAAGGAATGTAGGTCCCTGATTAAAAAAATTGCTTGTATTTTTTATCTGTTAGTGATAATCACTCAAAAAGCATCTGGTGTTCTACATCAAAAAAAAAATCTACCGCGTACGGGCCAGTATTTAAACGGAAAAAATTTGGATGAATGAATGTAGGAGGCTGTATAACCCAATTATCACTAACCTGGGTATGATGCGGTGCTGGTGCGTCTTCTACATGTCAAGGACCTGGTCAGCAGATCCACTTGATATTAGTCTTTTATATTGTAGATATCAGTAATATCTTCCATTATGCATTTCGTTGTCTAGTGGATGATTATACAGATTATAGTGCACAAACAAAAATTTTGTTATGGAAAGATAACATAAGTTTGTAAGAAATAGGGATATCAGACGTCAAACAGAACGTGACAAGTGCTTACTGTGATATAAATTATTCAATGTAAGCAACGTATTGGCATCGAATTTGATTCATTCGCCTAATCCAAAATCGTTTGCTCTTCGATTCAATTTTTGCGGCATTATTATCCCATTAAACTAACAATATTATTATACTTGTTGTTGACAGATATACGTCATCAATACCGAAACCGATCAGACCCAGGTTTATATAACTTCTTTTTTATTTTAGAAGTTTGATTACCTTGCACTCTGCGATTACGAACTTGAGTCGAAGTCCAAATTTGGTAACTAATGACGTATTACTATTGTTTGACGAGTTTAATGTTGTTTCTTGTGGAGTTTCTACGGTTTGAATTTTTGGATACACCTGGCCAACGTCGTTCTTAAAGAAATATAGATTGATTAAGCCGCCAGCCCAAAATCCAACCGAAAAGTGACTTTTTCGGGATGTATTGGATCTCATGTGGATTGGTATCGTCCCAAATTGGACAATTTTGTTTGTTCACGTACCCTTTCATCCAGAAATGGGCCTCATCGCTGATGATGATTTTTGGATGAAAATTAGGGTCAGTTGCTAATTACTCCAAAGCCCATTCAGCGGACACACGTCGTTGTCTATGGTCGTTTACCTTCAGTTCCTATGCCAGACTGAATAAATGACAACTAATTTGAAAGATGTAGCTTCAACATGGCCGTTATCAATTGTTGAAGTTCGGAAGTCTCTATTGAAAGACCTTATACATCTAATAAACTGTAGATATTTCACATTTCATGGAAAATAATTGTATATAATTATTATAAATTTTAACCTCAAAATGGGAATGGGTCTCTCTAATGTTCCGCATCTGGTATACTGGAACCACCATATCGGAGTTGTAGTATGGGAAGTATAATAATGTACTTACAGAATAATTGCTAAATTACGTCAGTTCGGAATTCCATTGTCTAATATAATATAAATTGATTTGAAATCCCTAAATTTCTGGATATGATTTTTTTTTCAGGGATTTCAATCTATATTATACAGTGTCATCCCCAAAGTATGCATCATATGGAAAACTTATTTATTAAGGGTTTTCCGACAAAATGTTATTCTTGATAAAAGTTTGTGCATCTCCTGAAACTAAACATACACCAACAAAATACAGTAAAACACAAGTAATATACAAGGAGCCTCCAAATATGTAATTTTGAGACAGGAGTAAAGTACTCTTATTTTGAAAAATCTCGGGAAATGTTATTCAGAAAAGTTGTTCAGCACTGTATATTACATCTAGATTTCAAGTCATGGCCATCTAAGTGAAGTTTAATTTTTATACTCTTTTTTTTTAATGGAGACTACAAAAAAATTGCACAAACGGTAAACAGACAGCATCCTGTATACCACGGTTTATTTCAAAAGTCTGCAATATCACAAATAACACAACTATGGTGTTAACCACGGTCAATTTTTTGGAAGAGTAAAATAATTTTCAAAGTTTTTGGTACAAACTTATTTTTATTTTTTGTTAACACCGAAAATTACTAAAAATTATACAGTATTGTGACAAGAACTCAATATTCAATAATATCAAATCACAAAACATCAAAATAAAATGGTATTTTGCAACAAACTCATTGATTTTCTGGAGATTATTTTGGACAAGAAAATATCCAGAAAATCAATGAGTTTGTTCCGAATTACTTATTTTATTTTGATGTTTTGTAATTTGATACAATATAGTATCTTGTTACAATATAGTAGAATTTTGAATAATTTTCGGTGTAAACAAAAAATAAAAATAACTTTGCACCAAAAACTTTGAAAATTATTTCACTCCCCAAAAAATTGACTAACAGCATAGTTGTGTAATTCGTAATATTACAGGCTTCCAAGATAAACCGTCGTTTACAGGATGTTGTTTATTTATCGTTACAGCAATTTTTTTTCGTAGTCCACATTTAAAAAAATGTGTAAAAAAAATAAAATTTCGCTTGGATGGCCTTGACTTGAAATCTAGATGTATTTTTTAATGCTGAACAACTTTTCTAAATAACATTTCCCGAGATTCTTCAAAATAAGAGTATTTTACTCTTGTCTCAAAATTACATATTTGAAGGCTCCTTGTATATTACTTGTGTTTTACTGTATTTTGTTGGTGCATATTTAGTTTAAGGGGTTGCACAAACTTTTATCGAGAATAACATTTTGTCGAAAAACCCTTAATAAATAAGTTTTCCATATGATGGGGCAATGGAAGACAATGGAAGTTCGAAACATTGTCAACCACCTTCAAACAATTGCTAAATTTCTGACAAATTTTATGAAACTAACCAAAAATTGTGATATATGTTACTTTTCAGTGTGTTCCAAAAATAAAAGTATTTCTTCATTGAAAGATTGGGTGTTCGAAGCACGTAGTTCCGTTTTCACTACCTTGTCCGTTTATTTCAGATGTACAAATTGACGCATATATAAAGATCCTTCGATGCTACTGTATAATATTATTTGACTCATGAACGATGAAATTTCAAGATTGTTTTCTATGCCTGGCGCCTATTTTACTACCCCTCAACATCGACACGTGGACGTACTATAATTACTACTCCTTGTTGCAGGTCCACATCAAATCTAATTTCATAATGAACGGCGTCTGCGTCCGATGGCGCGGTTGGATAGACGTCGAGCGTCTCGACGGCGTCGGTTGCCTGGAGTTTAGCGAAGAGAGAGCGGCTCAGGAAGACGCCCTGTTGAGAGAACAAATAGAGAGATACAACCAAAGGCTCAGAGAATACGAGGAGAAGCAGAGGGGGTACAGACAGGAGAGGCCCGAACAAGATCTAGAGGTACGTGGGGGGATGCACCAGAGACAGTTCATGAAGTTGTTTTAGTCGTTTTTGTTGTTCGTTATTGAAGTTTGTGTAGGAGAACTGACTGACGCGGATTGAAAGTAATTGAAAATGTGTGGAATGGATTTATAATCAGGCAGAGAAAAATTATTTAGTTTACTTGAACGATTTCGGTCTAATCATCTTAAAAATTGTGTGTTTGTGTCTGATTTTCTATTAGATCCTACACAATTGTTTTGAAGTTATTCCAATCTAAAATATGTTCCCGTTCACATATACTCGTATACAGTGTGTGTTACATCGAACTTCCAGTAAATATTAAGTTGAAGGAGTAATGGAGTTTTAGAGATCAATTCATTTAGATTTTTTTAATTATCTACCAATATTTAGGCTACCGAGTAGGTAGCACATTGAATTTTTTTAGGAAAAGTATTTATTGTTTTTTATACTCAGATTTCGTTAGAAAATTCCAGTGTACACCGATCGGTTCAGAAGTAATGCCAAAATAATAAAAAGCTGATCTATTATTTTCAGTAAAAACTCAGTTGAAGAATCTGGTTTGTTATGAGGATATTTCAAAATAACAATTCTACCAAAATATTGATACGGTTTAAAGAAAAGTCTCGAAAACCTTTTTTATAAATCTTAAGTTGACCAACCACGCTGAAATTGTGAAAAAGAGAGTAATTCCAGTTTGTTTAGAAAAATCCATCTACATGAGGTTGAAATTGTTATTCAACCTGGTATTAAAAAAAAAGAGTTCGACAAATTATCATTCGATAATGAAAATAAAAGAGTTCGACAAATTATCATTCGATAATGAAAATTCTATATTTTCAAAATATTTTCGACAAAGACTCTCCAACTAACTTTGCACTAAAACTGAATAAATCAATTTAATGTTTATTTTTGATACAACTATTGATCTATGAATCCTATATATATATATATTTTAAAAGTATTTTGCTAACGCAATCCGACTCTTCACTGAAAAACTTGTAATTTCGATATGGCAAAATGGTGCCCTAAATATTGGTGCATTGATATCTAACTTTTATAACAAACATTTTTTGATAACTACATCTTCACCACATCCTTCTAATGGAAGATTGATGTTATACATTCTGTATGTAGCTCAGTTTTATAACGTTTTCGTTAATACTTACTTCAACCATTTCATTTAGTGAAATTATTCCGAATTATATGTGAATTATAGAAAAGGTAGAAAATAGTCGGAAGACGTCTTAATTGATATATTTTTGAAATAACCAAAATTAGAAGAATTGTTATTGATCATCCAGGCAGGTAAAAGTTGAATGTTGTGTTGGCATAAATTAATAAACTTCATCCATAACAACTTGAAAACATCATTCGCGTAATTTGTTTTTGTATATTATGAGTTTGAATTGTATATAATTTGTACGTTTTTTACGTTTATTTTTTATTATGTAAATAATGTACCCAATTGCAATATGTAAATATATAAATGTAATAAATTTATGTGACTTCAGTTTGTTTTTTTTTTATTTATTATGCTATTTTAATTTTATTTTCATCGAAAGTAATGATATAAATTGATTCGAAATCCCTGAAAAAAATTAAAAAAGATTAACCGAAAATAACAATTTTATTAAACAAAAAATTGTAATCACAAAGAAATGAGAAATATTAATAAAAGCTGAAAATTAAAAAAAATATTATTAACAAAAATGTAAAATAAAAAAATCGGAAGATTCCAAACCAAGTTATGTCACGACGTTTCAATTGTTAGTATCCACAATCGTCTTCGGGTGATAACTGGACTTATTTCTCCGAGATCCGACTATTTATAGGTCATTCGAGTGCTTTCACCTATTCCCTCTTCCCTCTTTCCGCTTCATTGGTTTCAGCGGGAGATGACCGTTTGGTGGGAGTTGGTCGTTTTTCGCTTGATTAGAGGTTTCCATATGTTACGCATCTCTACGCTAGCTTGACTAAATGCGTTGTTGGACAACATATACGCGACTTCTTTGAATTTTCTCCTAAACCAGTGTTAATCTTTGTGGATGATTTCAGCTTCAGCCCACTTGATATTATGTAGATGAGTCCAAACATGCTATGCTATTCCGGATTTACTGGTTTCTCCTCGCTGTGTGTGTTTCTTGTGCTCAGCAATGCGAACTTCCAATAGCCTCTTAGTTTCATCGATGTATGATTCTCCGCACTCGCAGGGTATCCGGTAAATGCAATTCTTGAAATCGCAGTCCGCGTTTGGTGGCCTGGTTTTCGTGAGGCTGCTACGGATAGTGTTCCCAAACCTTCTTATCTTTTCCGATAATCCTCTGATGTAGAGAATTACAAGTACTGGTTGTGGCGGCTTCTCTTCCTTGTGGAGCTCTTGCTGTCTTCTAGCTAAAGCCTGTTCTACCATCACTCTGGAGTAACCATTTCGTTGAAGGTCATTTTTGATGATGCCTAGTTCCTTTTCGATACCTTCCTCTGTATTACAGAGCCCGAAAGCACGGTCTAGTAGAGTCTTGATGATTCCTCTCTTAGTCGATTGATGGTGGTTGAATTTCTGGTTCAGATACTGCCACCAATACGTCTAAGAATGGCAAATCGTCGTGGACTTCCTTCTCCATTGTGAAAGTGATGGAAGGATTTACGTTGTTGATGTGCTTCAGGAAAGTGTCTAGTTCTGCATTCCCATGGTTCCATATTAGGAAGGTGTCATCTACGTATCTCAACCAGACTCGGGGCTTCTTCAATGGCCAGAGTTTCAAACCACTCCATATATATTGGATATAACTGGTGAAAGTGGCGATCCCATTGGCAGTTCTCCTCTTGCGTAAAGAACTCGTCCTTCAGTTGGAAGTAGCAGCATCCTAGTAATTTCATGATTACTTGTATCGGTAAGTTTGTTCTATCTTTCAGGTCCCCATCTTCGGATAGCTTCTTTTGTATGATTTGAAGTGCTTTTTCGACAGGAACGTTGGTGTAGAGGCTTTCCACGTCGAAACTGATCAGTTGATCCTGCTCTTTGACTTCGATTTCCCCTAGTAGTTCAACGAAATGACTTGAATTTTTCACAAAAGATGATGTTTTACCTTGCGAATATCATAACACGTTTGACATAGATAAACAATGTCAGGAAAAAATTAAATACTCGTTTTAGTTTTCATCCAATTCCAAACTAGGAGATCAACCGGTGGACAAAACTTCACTATTTGAAGTATTCAAATTTAGCACAGTTGGATGATATTAATGAAAAACTCATGATGGGGGTGTGTTGTTAAGAATACAATGTGGTCTTAAATTTCATCATCGAAATACTGCTGCTTATGTTAAAATTATTCTAAAATAGTGAGTGATTACCAGTGACTGTTTGAATTCCAGTTATCATTTAGTTATTTATGGTTAATAAACTTCAAAAGAGAGGATTGAAGTAGTGATTTTGTACAACAAAAATCAGCAAGGCCACTGCTGTGTTTTGACGATAATCATCCGGGCAGAAATGTAAGAGAAATTCATATTAGAATTCTTACACAAATTCATGGAAACTGGTAACTCGAATAACAGGCATGATTTTTTAGGAATAATCAATAACGAAAGCATTATCATTAGAAAAAACAAAATCTGGATAACGGATTTTGTTTTCTCGTAATTATGTCTTCGGCTGTAAAAGCCATAGGTTTTTATAGAAGGAATTATTGCTGTAGCTCTAGCTCACGATGCCTTGTAGAAGAATCGCAGTCTGTATATATTTCTCAATAGGTAGAAGCTAGAATACCTGATGAACATAAAAAAAGCAAACACTATTAACGTCAAACTCGAGATTGAAACATCTATAGTAAAGCTTATTATTCCCGTACCTAAATCGGACATATGCTGAAATGAATGAAACATCGCAACAAAAACGTGGCCAAACTTGAATCGCCTCAGGGGGCATCATAAACACAAATATGGGCCCCTTTTTGATTTTTCACTTCGGCACCTTTTCAAATGTCAATAAGAATCCCCGCGGAGGACGATATTGTCGAAGCCGGCTCCGGGTGGGGGGCGCCCTCCTAGGATACCCCCCTCGGGGTGTCTAATAAGGGCGTACGATTCCGTTCGTATGTGATGAGGAATTTAATTTCGTGTTCCGAGGGAGATTTGTAACATTGTTACGACAAAATTGACTCTTTATGATTGTAATTGTTGGACCAGCCTGACATGTCGTGAGAAAGTGGAAAATTGGAGTTAACTGATTTACACAACTTATTTCTCAAGTATTATAAAACCTGCAAATCATTCGAAAGCGGAAAGCGAGTTAATAACCAACAAGCATTTCGAATTTTCGTTATTTGATCAGAATTAAATGAGGAAATGACTTCATTAGTCGTATTGAGAAAGTAATTGCTGTAAGTCACTTTTTCGAAGTTTTGAACACTTTTGAAAGATGGTTCAATGCGTGAGTGTGTAGGCAATATCTTGAAAATCACGGATATTTTTCGGTATTATGTATTCATTTTAATTTCAAAAAAGGGTTTCCTGGTTAGGCCCGGCAATTAGTGTTACTATTTGTAGAGACAAAACAGGAAAAAATACTTTCTCGTCTTGACAAGAATACTGATTTTCTCGACGAGAGAAGGTATTCTCTTGTCTACACTTTTCTTGAGGAGAGAATGGCCTTAGTAATTCAAATTTGTAGTAACCGGTAATAAGATTGCGGTCGCTTTATTTCTCGATATTTGCCAATGTACTGCCTAAATCTGTAGGATCAATTATCTCTGCCTAGGAAAGGTATATAATCGACCATAACTGGCTGGATCTATATCATGCTGGTAAACATAACTGCAACAACGACTCTTCAAGGCGAGGCCATTAGGTTTAGGGTCACCAGATGCTGCCCTCAAGAGGGGGTACTATCTTCCATTCTGTGGTCGTCTGATTGATGCCCTCGACAGAAAAAAAAAGATCTGCAAGCTTATGCAGATGACCTTGTCATCTTGGCAAGGTCCACGTCAGGAAGGGTAGCTTGTAATATCCTCCAAAGCACGATGTACGTTGTTCATAGTTGGTGCCTGAGGGAGCAGATGTCTGTCAACCCCAGTAAAACTGTGATAATCCCCTTCACCAGGAGGAAACAATTGGACGATCTAACGCCACTTTCCCTCAATGGTGAGGTCATTCTATTTGGAAAAACTCACCTGGAACGCTCACTTGGAAAGAGTTTTACTCAAAGCCTGAATGTCCCTATAGACATGTCGAAGGATTTGTGATTTGTTTGGGTCCCAAACGAATATCCATTGGATTTATGTGATGATTTTCAGACCAATGATCACTTATGGTACAATTGCCTAGTGGCCAAAGGCTTTACAGAAAACGGCCCAGGCGAAGCTCTCTGCCTTACAGAGATAGGCTTGTCTGGCCATCAGTACCACACCAGTACCATCGGACCAGAACCTGTCATTTAGCATCTCTTTAGGCTTTGCCAAACAAAGATTGAACACCTGGATGGCAAGAAGATGTATAGACTTCTGGCAGAATCTTCCAGGATTGGCTCATTTCAAGGCGTTCATTCACCTTTTGAAGCTTGATACGAAACAGTTGTTAGATTACAGTAGGGATGAACTACGATATCTAACAGGCCTTCTTACAGGTCATTGTCATTTGAATCATCATATGCAGAAACTCGTACTGTCGGAAGACAGTGTGTGTCGCCTCTATTTGGAAAATGATGAAACCTCAGAGCACCCACTTTGTGCCTGCCCCGCTGGGGACCATACACCATACAAACTA